TACGCTGGCTCACCTACCTACTGACTGACCTAGGAGAGCCGCCTCGTTCTCCTCTAGTTCTGTACGTAGACAACAAGGCCATGCTGGCCTTTTGTCGGGAGCACAGACTAGAGCACAGAACGAAGCACATTGCTCTTCGCTACTTCCTGGCTCGTGAGCTGCAGCAGCGTTGTCAGCTCCGCCTCACCTATGTGGCCTCTGAGGCCAACACTGCTGATATCTTTACCAAGGCCCTTCCGCTTTGTGACCATCAGCGCTTCTGTAATCAGCTGGGCCTTGTGCCTACCTTGCCTCACTTGCTCACCTCTTGACCTTGCTTGTACTGTTACATATATATATCCCTGCTCTATTTTGTCTAACCTTCTTTATATATATGTACTCCTGAATGTGAACTGGCCTTGTGGCCTTGAACTTGTGCTCGGAATGTGTGGTGACTTTGTGATCCACCCTGAGCTTGCTTTACTTTGCTTTGCTTGACTTGTCTTGTGACCCCTTGTTCTCCCCCACTTTGCCTATGGGGGTGTGTCAGAACATTATAGTTCATGCATATTGTGTAGGCTATAGTGGGGTAGCCCATAAGGGGTACAACCCAATTAGGGTTAGTACTTGTACCCAATTCATTCATAGTTCATTCATTCTCGTTTCTTCTCAGGAAGCGTAGTACTATAGCGAGCATTGTGATCAGCCAGTGCTACTTGGACCAACGTAGGAAGCGGGGTAAGTGTTGTGTGGTCGCGGAAGAAACAATGTGAAGCTCTGGAGTCCATAGTGAAAGACAGCGAACGTCCTCTGGAGTAGCTCCTAGATTAATGTCTACACAAGTATCTACACTAGCAACAGGCCCCTCAGTAAGACTAGCACCAAAGCTACCAACAGTCGAGTAAACAGAGTCAAAACACTAGAGTCAACAACATCATACATAGCATGAGGAGTTCCTAAGAGATCAACCAAGTGAGAAGCTGACATGCCCTACAAGGCGAGGGCGTACGTTTGAACAAGAATAAATCCAGTTAGGGGCAGGGCCATCAACGTCGTAGGCCAACCGAACCGTGTCAGTAAGCTGAGCAAAGCACTGACCCCGTGGGTGGTTGCGACCACAAGGCTGGCCGCGGCAGGCACCTGTCGGAACATGATAGGTGCAGGGAGGGTGGACGACACCGCGTTGCAGCTGACGTTGTCCTAACCCCTGCCCCGAAACCTGCTGCTGCCGCTGTTGCTGCTGTGGCTGCAGCAAGGGGAGGGGCTGCTGCTCCTTCTGCTGCTATCGCTGAGTCAGGTACCACGCCGCTGCTCCACCCCCTGCGGCTGGCAGACCAGTAGGTGGCTGACAAACCCAGGCGTCACCTCCACCAGCTGCAGCAGGGGAGTCACCGGCCACTGCACAAGGCGCTCCTCCAACCCCTACACTCCTGCCGCCGCCGCTCGCCACGTCACCCCCATCGCCTCCGCCGCCTCCGCCCGCACCCTGACTGCCCCTCCTGCCACTCCTATCCCGAGACCGCAAAGAAGTCGTAATAGCAGCTGCGGTGACTTTAGTAGCGGCAGTGGTGAGGGAGGCAGTAAAGGTGGGCAGCTGAGGGACAGTGCACTCGTGAAACAGTGGAGAGGGCACATCGGCAGAGGCAGAAGCTACTGAGCAGAGGTTGCTCTCTACGTCCTTGAGGGCCGACTCAAGGACCTCGATAGTGGGCTCGTTAGGGTGCTTCAGAAGAAGAGCGTCACAAACCGAGGCAAGGTGGTAAGGGAGGCTAGTGGCGATGAAAGATAGTAATCGCCACGGGGGGGGGGGGGGGGGGGGGGGGGGGGATCAGTGCAAGCAGCGCGGTTGCTAGAATCGAGCGAGCACAGATGAGTGATCAAAACAGCACCGCGCGCTCAAACGAGGCGAGGTCAGGAAACAGGAACGGAAGGAACAGGCGACCAAGAGAGACAGTGGTAGGAGTAGCGTGGCGGGCCTTGATCGCAGTCTGGAAATCACTAGCCGTGCGAACCTGAGTGAAGTGGGTCTCCTCAGACTCAGGGAGGAGGCTGCTGAGGGCGATGCAGGCCGCAGCGTCACGCGACTTCCACACGGTCACGTCAGCACGCTCGCATGCATAACCGTCACTGTCTGCAGGTGTGGGGTCAGCTACTAAGGGCGCAGGGTCAGCAGGCACAGGAAGGTCACCGGAAGCGTGCGGCCACACAGTCTCGTGTGCCTGAACCTGGATTTCTAGGAGGCGGCGCCCACGCAAAAGCCAAACCAAGAACTCGAGCGGCCTACCCTCAGCATCAAAGCGCAGAACCCTAGGTGTCGTCATAACGGAAGCGTAGAGGTGGATACTGCTGCTGCCGAGACCCTAAACGCCTAGAGGGTCCGAGCAGGGCGCGACAGGCTGAGCGGAAGGCGCGACGCGACGGGACAGCAGGGCGCAACGCGACGGGACAGCAGGGTGCGACGCGACGCGACTCGACGGGACAGTAGGGCGTGACGCGACGGGCTGGGGGCGAATCGATGGGAGGGGGGGGACGAGACGCGACGGGCAGGGGACGGAACTATGGACAGGGGACGAGATGACGGGCAGGGGACGGGACGACGGGCAGGGGACGGGACGGGCAGCGCGACGCGACGGGCAGGGGACGCGACGGGCAGAGGACGCGACGGGCAGAGGACGCGACGGGCAGGGGACGCGACGCGACGGGCAGGGGACGCGACGCGACGGGCAGGGGACAGAACGACGAGTAGGGAGGCGCGTCGAGTAGGTGACGGGCGGGTGACGGGCGCGACGCGACGGGCAGGGGACGCGACGCGTCGGCTAGGGGACGGGCGCGACGGGCACTTCGAGCGCTACGAGCGCTTCGTGATGGAACGGGCAAGCGCTAATGGCGCTACAGGAGGCACGGGCATTTCTTGACAGAACGGGCAAGCGCTAAGGGCGCGACAGGATGGAACGAACGGCCACGACGGGCACTACAGGACGAAACAGACACAGCGGGAACGGTAGACTATGTGCAACGGGCGCGAAAGGCAGGGCTGATTTTATCAGGGTAATTACCCTGATTTCAGGGTGATTCCAGGCTTTCCACTTTGTGGAGACTGAAATTTTAGAGTTATTGAATTTTCAGCCCTGATCCAATCAGAGTAATAGTTTAGCTATCCTTGATTTTGAGTACATTGTAACAGACTAGGCTGTTAGTGGACCCTGACTTAACAGAGTATCGACTCTGTGGACCCTGACTTATCGAGAGGAAGTTTCTCAGAAGTTTTCTTCCGATGACCCCGCCTTGGATTGATCGCAGTGATCCCCCCATATGTGCATAATCCCCCCCCTTTCCGCTTTATCGAGAAGAAGTTTCTTCGAAACTTCGTTCTGATACACCTACCATTGAGATCGCGCGAATCTGCAATGTCAGATATACTTTGCTGGGATTGGTCGAAATAGGCTCTGACAGCGGAAATTTTTGACTCGAACAGGTGTGACTCGCCCGTTCGGTCGTTACACTCGCTCCAGAAGGAACGCCTCTGAGGGTGACTAACTACAGTCGCAGCGTGTCTGATGCATGCCATCTGAAGGAGATCCGATTGGGCATGGTAAGACAGGGAAACGTTACACTCGCACACCATATAGGTCAATCACACCCGCCCTGCACAAATCAGTCGAGTGTACAGCCAGCGGGAAACACAGCGCGCAGACTTTATGGATGGTGGGGATTTTCTCCCCGGTAACAAAGCGTGCGTTACTTCTCTGATGTTCAGTTCTTGACCCTGAACAATCAGAGTTAACTACTTTACAACCCTGAGCAATCAGGGTACTGCTTTTCTCGAAAATGTGCACCCATAATAGAGGGGGAAAATTTTCCCCGGAATAAGGGAGGCTTAAAATGAAACGTCAGCCCTGGCGAGAGGCACTAGCGGGATCTCAAAGGATCCTAATCTAGGTGATACCATCTCAAGAATGAAAGTGTTGGTTTGACTAACCCTAACAGTTGTACCCCTTATAACACACATCACTAAGACTACCGTATTCTCCCGGACATAACACCCGGGGGTATTATGATAACCACAGGGAAAAAAGGGGGGGGGGTCCTCTCAACGGAAAATCCTATATAATACCCGGGTGGTTATATATGGTATATTTTAATGCAAGAGGATTCTCAAATTAGACAGTTTGGGTGTTTCAATGGTCGTTTTAACATCACAGTTTGAGGCGAGAATGTGAGTTTTGGCAAGAATGTGAGTTTCACCTTTCGGGCCACTTGCAGCGGAAGATTCGCCAGCGTGGCAACTTCCTAGAATGTGGGATGGGGGAAATGTCCACTTGCAGCGAAAGATTCGCCAGGGTGGCGACAGTGAGATTGTGGGAGGGGGAAATGTTGGCGGATTCTAAGTGCAAGTACGCGCGAAATTTCATTTAGGAAGCAATTCTCGCGATATTCCCCTATAAGGAATCAGACTCGATAACAACTATAATAGGAATCCGTAAGAAAAGGGGGGTGTTATAGAAAATCATCCAAAAAGGGGGGTATAGTAGAAACGAGGTCGCCCATAGCACCCACCCCGCACAAGCTACCCGGGGGTGTACTATCATGGGGGGGTGTTTTGTCCGGGAGATTACGGTACAACATTTGACAGGGTTTATACAGTGGCATGAGAAAATTATGTTTATCATAGAGTTCCCATTTATAAGATCTATAAGACTAAGACATCTTTAGTTCCTGTTATAAGATAAAGCAACCATTTTTTTCAACAATATTAAATAGGACACATACATCTGATTTCCAGGCGATGACGGTAGTAAAATAGAGTTGATGCATGTAAATTCGCTCGTAACTTCGCATCCCTTCACTTCCCTAGTGCCTCATCTTGTGATGATTTGCGGTGCCCACTGAGCTTTGAATAGACAAAAGACCATAATTTATGGCATCACAGTAGTTCACTGCCACCATACAAGTCGGGCTTCATTGTTTTGCGTTGTGCATAAGGCGTCAACTCATATACTAATGAGAGGAACGAATACAAATTACATTGTAGTGCGGGCGTTGACAAGACCAGCAACGGAGGATGCAAGGGAACGTAGGAGGGAGACCGTGAAGCCGCTGATAACACCTGCCACAGAGGGAAACACGACGAGTACAGAAACAGAGCAAACGCAGCACAAACAGGGAAAATTAGCGACATCGCGGTGAGTGGAACAAGGAGCAAAGGGATGGCTGAGAGTTCAGGGTTTAAGGTTTAGGGACCACTTTGCAGAGGTGAGGAATATGGGTGGGAGGGAGGAGAAGATGGGATTCGTATCATGGGGTAGGGAGGGGGGAGCAAGGATGGCGTTGGGAAGGTAAAATACAGAGAGAATAATCAGGGAAGAGGCAGAGTGAGAAGAGTGATGTGCAGAGGGGAGGGGAAAGAGGCTGACAGAAGAAGATGATGGTGGCGAGGGAGGCGATGCGACCGACAGCTGCTGTGACGTAGAGGAAGAGCAGCACCTGGCATGGCAGGGAAGAAGAGAAACAGCTGAGGGGGTCACACACACACCCTTGACTGGCCTGACCAAGGATGGTCCACACGGAAACGTGCATGCATGAGCCGGGCCCATGGATAAGCCATCAGCAAAGGACAATGTTGATGCGCAGAGGTAGAGTCGACTTCTGAGCCGCGGTGTTGACTCTCAGCTTCCACTGCAAGCTATTCTTGAACGAACTCGCGAAGGAGCATGAGTTGTGGTGCTGCGAGTGACTCACTGCCCAGTGGCCACTCCATGGCACCCCAGCAACCACCTTGACGAAGAGGCGCACGTCGGAGCCACTGGCCGCCACTCGCAGCACGCCCTCCGCTGCCCCCAGCACGTTGGCCCCCGCCGCCACCACCGCCTCCGCTGCCCCCTCCGACACCTGCCAGGGGCGCGCTGTGTGCAGCAGTGGGCTGGGGGACGAGGGGGGCGGGAATGCAGAGAAGGGAGGAGCAGGAGACTGGGAGGCAAACGGAGTAGGACTAGGGAGGGCAATGGGGGCGAACAAGAGACTTGTCCGGCGGCCCTGGAACAACAGCCACCCTTCCAGGACTAGTCGCTTTCTGTGGTGGCATCCGCCCCTGGTGCTGCACGCTGAGTGCGAGCGATGGGCCACGGGTGTGGGGTGGGAGTGCGCACGGGGAGAAGAGCAGTGGAAACAGGAGGCTGGTATAAAGGCATGCTTGGAACCTGGAATAACCAGACAAGAAAGTGGGGACCGGAGGTGGAGGAGGTGGAGAAGGGATTAGGAAGGAGCCGGGGGGGATAAGAGGGAGGGCGAGTGAGCATGTGGAGGTGATGTTTGAAAAGGTGTCGTGGTTTGGTAACGACCTGCTTATGTCCAGGACGAGGGACGGACACGTGCAGAGTGGCAGGTGGAGAAAGGGAGAAGGTCAACTCACGGGAGGTTGAGGGCGCGTGAGAGGAGGGCGAGCAGGGCGGCGGCGGTGGTGAGGACAAGGAGCACGTCGGCAGTGAGGGCGAGGAGGGGGCGGTGCATGGCGTGGCAGTGCAGATACACCACCCCCGCCAGCACGCCCCCCACCACCCACACATGTGCCTGCTGCCGCGCGGGCACAGCATACAGCATGGCCGTGGGGTGCAGGCCTGCTGCTGTGGTGCGGTGGGCGGGGCAAATGGGCGGCAGGGTATGCGGGAAGAGGTGTAAAGTGAGATGTGTGACAATATGGAAGGAATAGACAGGTGGGTGGGTGCATGCATGCGCGAGTTGCACTGAATCAACCATTGGAATTTGGTTTCAAATAGTTACTGTGAAGCACACTCACACCCATGTGAGGCACATACACCTATGCGAGGCACATACCCCCATGTGAGGCACATACCCCCATGTGAGGCACATACCCCCATGGGAGGCACATACCCCCATGTGAGGCACATACCCCCATGTGAGGCACATACCCCCATGTGAGGCACATACCCCCATGTGAGGCACATTCCCCCATGTGAGGCACATACCCCCATGCGAGGCACACACCCCCATGTGAGGCACCTGCAGTCTTCATTGAGCCACTTGCTGAGACAACAGCGAATCCCACCGCTCAGTCTTGCTTGTGCCAAGCTGCATCTGAGGAGGAGCAGAGAGGAGGGACAGGGGCGCGAGAATGGTGACGGGTGGGACACAAGAGCGCCAGTGGAACTTCATTGCATCAAGAGAGCATTGTAGCAATAACGGAAAGGGCAGCACAGGGAAAGGCAGAACAGGAAAGGAGTGCAAGGAAGGGCAGAGCAGGGAAGGGCAGAGCAGGGAAGGGCAGAGCAGGGAAGGGCAGAGCAGGGAAGTGAGCAGCGGGAGGGAATGGCAGTGGGAGGGAAGGTGGAAGCGCGCAGAGTGCAGTGCGTTGGTGCGTGCATTCGATGTTTGAAGGGCACTGGTTGTTGTGCCACACATGCACCGCACCTGGCACACGTGCAGCGCACGTGGCGTTGGTGGGACCTTAAGATGCGACGGTGGGGCTCACTGGCCGCACACGCTGGCGAGGCGGGATTGACGAGCGGAGATAACTGCGGCAGGGACAATGGTGTGGCAGCAGGGACAATGGTGTGGCAGCAGGGTCAATGGTGTGGCAGCAGGTAGATTCGCTCGGAATAGGGAACGGAAGGGGATACAGGGGAAGGGGGGGGGAGGAAAAAGGAAGGGATAAGGGAAGAAAGGGGAGTACACGCGGTTGAGAAGGAGGGGAGGGAGAAGCAGGCATGGGTATGGAAGGGAAGGTATGGAAAATAAGGAGGAAGGGAGGAATACTATCCCGTCATGTCTCTCCACCCCCTCTCGAGTCCTTACCTTACAGTCCCGTCCCTTCACCCAACTGCCCAACTCACCCAACTCCATTCCCATTCCTCCAACATCCTAACCTGCTTCGCTTCCTACCCTCTCGCTTTCTGTTCCCGTTCTCCTCCTTTTCCTCTCACGCCGTCCCACACTCCCTACCTGGTAGCACTACGCGGATGGCTTCAGCGCCGGCATCCGCCGAGAGTGCGAGGGGAGCGCGTGACGGGGGTGAATGGGTGCGAGCGGTGGGAGTGAAGGATACGCGACGTATTCGCGGGTGGTTCGAGAGAAGCGGGTCTAGTGGCCTGCTGGTCTCGCTCTGCCTCGCGTCGTCTGATCGCGGACCCCCAATGGCGCGCGGGTGAACAACTGTGAAACGCGACGGCACTCGTTTATCGCTACTATACGTGGCAAACCACCCAAGGCGCTGCGGGATGGGATGACGCGGCTCGTCGTTCTAAAAGCAGATGCGAGGGGTATCGCCTCTAGGGTGGCGCGTGCGATGGACGCGGTGCTCGCGCGGAGGTGATCGCGCGATGCTAAGCTGGATATATAATTCATGCATGCCCTGGTCTCTTGTTCCATTTAGGCGAATTGGTGCACAGGCTTTCGGCTTGCTTTCCCAACCCAAGCCTGGGCCAAGCGTTTTTGTTCACCGTTTGGTTTGGTTGGGGCCAAAGCGTCAGACCTCACCTCTCGGACCGGTCCACAACCACGGAGCCTGTCCAGGTTAAGGTTATATAAGGTCGTAACCATGCACAGCAAAGCATAGAGAAACTAGAAATATGGTCTACACAACCAGCAGCCCAAAGGCGCACGTAGGAAACACGTTATTTCTATATCCCACGGATAACCACCAGCACGGCTGGGGAGCTCTCTATGCTGAAAAAAAAGAAAGGATTAGGGGGGGCGGAAGGAGTCCCCTAGCAACCAAGAGGCTCGGAGGTCCGGGTGAATAGAAGGGGTTCCGTCATGGTCCAAAACGAGGAAGCGAAATCGAGTGGCTAGCTTGATACGAGCAGCTGAGCGTCGTTGTTTTTTTGTTGATTGTTTCTTGCTTCGCCATAGGAGGATTTTGAAAGCGATGAGGAATTGTGCCAGGATGAGCTGGAGGATCTCAAACCGGGAGGAGGGTGAATCTTGAAACTTGTGTTCACAGCGCGCGTTCCATATAGCTTTTGCAGATGCTCCAACCAGAAGGCTCTAGGGGGCCACCTGTCCAGCTCTGGAGGCGAGCGGAAAGAGCAAGAGCTCAAGAGGAGGAGAGCAGTGGAGGTGGCGAGGAGCGACAGAGGAGAGAGCAGAAATCACTGCGGGGGCCACCCCACACTTGTAGAAGATGTGAGAGATAGTCTCTGTAGGTGCTTCAGTGCAAAGTGAACAGATCCCTCGGTCCATGGCAAAATTGAAATGCGAGCCCGAAGGAAGAGCGCGAATGTAGAACTGGTACAAGACGTCGCGCTGGAGACTGGGTTGCTCGCGTAAAAAGTCATGGGAGAAGTCAGGGACGAAAGGAGGAGGAGCTGGGAGGATGTGAGTCCAACGGGCGGCGTGGTCAAGGGGAAGCTTTGTGTAGAGGCGGCGACGAATCTCGGCTATATTGGGGTATCCGTCCTGTAAGATGTCGAGCCGTGCGCCGAGCCCTGCACCTGTATAGTAGGGGCCTGCAAACCAGGACCCGACGACATGCACCGCGTAGAGGTCACCTATGTTGAATGTGCCGTCTCCGATTGACGCGCGGACGATGAGGCGGTTGGGAAGGACACGGTGGAGGGAGGCCGAAAGCGACGACGGAGGGGAAAAAGAGGTGAACTGGAGAGCAAGAGTGGGGGAGGACTTTGAGTCGTCTTTGGGGACGAACCACTCCCCGCAGGCTGCCAAGGGGGGAGGGGGGGAGCGAAGGACTGACCACCAGGTTTTGGGGATGGCACGGACGAGGTCTCTCCAGACTCTACGTCCGGAGGAGGAGTTGGCCACGGGGAATGTTGAGGTGAAGTGTTTAAAGGAGACCACGCCAAGGGAGTGAAAGATAAGTGAGATCAAGTGACCGACCCGAATCTGCATGGATAGGAGGAAGCGTTCACGCATAAGAATTCCGAATGGCTTCCCATTCGGTTTGAGTATGAATTGGTTGAAGGCGGTGGGCTCAGCCATAATACACATAGGGACGAGGCGAGGCGGGGAAATAACCGGGGAGATTTCTATCAATGCGTGTAGTTCGGCAAGCGCTCGACTCGGAGTTACCTCTGGAAGGATGCCTGATTGAAGAATGGTGGGGTGTGCTAAGAGACAGTGTGTGCCAAAAGGGAGGCAGACGGCGGCTCTCGCCACCTCTTCTGATGGTGAGGCGCCGAAGCGGCGAAATGCACGGTGGCTGGCAAGAGCGCAGATTTGGGTGGAAGGGGCGATCGCCCCGAGACCTCCATGGCGGGTGGAGTTATACAGGAGACGATCGGGGATGAGGCGGACTGCAAGGCCGTGTTCCTTGAATCGAGAGGAGGAGAGGAAGTTCCCAACCAAAACGTCGAGGCGTTTGATAATGTCAGGGGAGGGGGGTTGAAAACGGCCGGGGAAGGAGAGAACGGAGTTTAAGAAAACCGACGCAAGTGATTTGCGGCAGGAAGCAGTGGCACGGAGGGCGCAAGGAATTTAGTCGTGCGCTGAACGCGAGAGAGTGTCATAGACCAGGTGGTGGCGCCTAGTTGTGCCCGTTCTACATAGATGCCAAGAATACGGTCTGCCTCTTGAGGAGTGCGAATGGGAATGGGGCCAGCGAGGAGGATGAGTTCTGGTGCAATGTGAAATGGGATAATTGAGCATTTATTCTAGTTGGGGTGCTCTCCAGAAACGGCGGCGAAAGTTCGGAGATGTATAAGGGTGGTCCCAAGCTCTCTGACGGAAGAGAGGAAGATGGTGACATCGTCAGCATTGCAAGCCATCAGACGGCATTGGGTCGTAGAGAGGGGGAACCCTGGGAGGAAGAGGGAGAGTTGAAGGATTTCGATGACACATACAAAAAGGAGGGGGGCCAGAGGGCAGCCTTGTCGGACCCCCGTTCGAACGGGGAAGGTGGGCCCAGCAAGGTTGTTAACTGAGATGCGGGTGGAGGTATTGGTGTGCATAAGGCGGACCCAGGCGATGAACTGCTCAAAAAGTCCAAGCGTAGTGAGTGCCCGGAAAAGGAAGGCACGGTCGACCAGATCGTAGGCTTTGCGAAAGTCAACAGTTAAGGCGAGCAGGGGGGTCTTAGTGATTGTGCTCCAGTCAAGGATGTCGAGTGTATCGTTGATCGTATTGCCTATTTTCCTATTCTTAATAAAAGCAGTCTGGGAGGCGTGGTTGATCAAAGGAAGCACAAGTTGCAACAGATTGGCAAGACAGAGGGCCAGTACCTTGTAGTCCGAGTTCATGAGAGTGATGAGGCGGAGGTTCTCTGCGGAGGAAGAGTTGCCCTTTTTGGGAATTAGGACGGTGCGGCCTGAGAGCATTGACGACGGAAGGGCTTCGAAGATGGGGGGTGAGAAAAAAGTGAGAAGAAAGCGGGAGAGAAACGGGTTTTATGTTGTTGGAACAGTTCACCCGGGATGCCGTCGGGGCCAGGGGTTTTGCCACGGGAGAGTTGCCCTATAGCTTTGTTAATTTCCAGAAGAGAAAAGGGAGATTGCAGGTGGGAGAGGAGCTGAGGTGGGAGTGAAGAAGGGGGAATGTGTGCCCAGAAGGCAGGGTTTGGCACGCCCGGGGTTGCCCCACTATAAAGGGATTGAAAAAAACTTGTGCATTCAGCGGTCATGGCATGGAGATCAGAGGTGGTTTATCCGTCAGATACTGTGAGCGAGGAGATTAGTGAGTCTTTGATGCGGGAGTTAAGTCCTACCAGCAGGGAGGAGATTCCCATCTCCCGATGACCCTCGACTTTGAGTTTTGCTTTTAGAGCGAGCTCAGCGATTTTAGAGGTCTCATATCGTATAAGTTGTTGGCGGGCTTTGAGGAGTTGTGCACACTCTTCTTGGTCGAGAGGAGAGAGGGCGGATTGGAGTTGGAGGCGACTGATGAGCTGTACGAGATGCTCGGTGAGAAGAAACGAGAATGAATGACTAAGGAATGAAAGTGATACAAGTATGCAACCTTAGAATTGTGTACCCCATATAGGCTACCCCACTACAACCTACACAACATTATAATTTGACACACCCCCATAGGCAAAGTGGGGGAGAACAAGGGGTCACAAGACCAGTCAAGCAGAGCAAAGCAAGCTCAGGGTGGATCACAAAGTCACCACACATTTCGAGCACAAGTTCAAGGCCATAAGGCCAGTTCACATGCAGGAGTACATATATATATAGAAGGCTAGACAAGAAAGAGCAGGGGTATATATATGTAACAGTACAAACAAGGTCAAGAGGTGAGCAAGTGAGGCAAGACAGGCACAAGACCAAGCTGAGTGCAGAAGCGCTGATGATCACAAGGCGTAAGTGCCTTGGTGAAGATATCAGCAGTGTTGGCCTCAGAGGCCACGTAAGCAAGACGGAGCTGACCACGCTGCTTTAGCTCACGAGCAAGGAAGTAGCGAAGAGCAATGTGCTTCGTTCTGTGCTCCAGTCTCTGCTCTCGACACAAGGCCAGCATGGCCTTGTTGTCTACGTACAGCACTGGAGGAGAACGAGGCACCTCGCCAAGGTCAGTCAGCAGGTAGGTGAGCCAGCGAAGCTCCTGTGCAGCCATGGCCCCGGCG